GCTTTGTCGATACGATGTGCGTAAACTCGGGTTTACTAGTGTGCGGCGTGTGACAGCAACGTCACACGCAATAAACAGCAGCGTCATTCATTTTTAAGGTGAACAAATCATTCACAAAATGTTAGTTTATAGTTTATAGAAGGATAATTCATCTTCCTGCTGTGAAGAATAATACTGGTGTTGTGGCTGTTGTGCAGAAGGCTGTCTTGAACGTAAAGTTTCAGCTAACATGCTAAACATACGAAATTCATGATCTCTTGCATCCTTCCTTTCCCTTTCTCTCTCCTGTCTCTTCTTTTGTTCATTTTCTTCTCTCTCCTGTCTCCAGTTACCATACAGACGGGGAACTCGACGAGAGTGCATACTCTTAACTGCTGGAGAGAGCTAGCTACAGCGTGTGAGTGCCTGATCGCGTGGGCCTGCGGACCTGATCTCAGCGCATGCTGCGACTTCGCCGCTCACTGGTGGCTGCTGCTGACTCGCCACTCGCTGACTCGACGCGCTATCGATCGCGCGTGGCTACACACACACACACAGCACCCACACACACACACACAAGACCAGATTACATGACCTCCGTTGGCAACTCCGTGGGCAGGATAAAACAGTATAACTATCCTATCCCTAACCTTAACACTAACTATAAAGCGACTCGAGTCGTATATATATAGCGTCTAAAAAAGATAATTAATCTATGGCGTATAACGTTGGCCTTCATAACAAACTGAACTGAACTGTTTCTGAACTGGACAATCAATCCAAACAACTAGTGTAGGCTAGCTAATTAATTAATTAATTAATAATTAAAATAATTAATTAATAGCTGGAAATTAATTAATAGCTAGTGAACGACATTATTTTGTGGGAAAGCGATGCATGCGCAAATGGACTACCGTACCCGTAGCCACAAGACATTAAGATACGGCTACCGTCCCGGTAGCCACTGCGACAAAAAATACATTTGATACCTGTGCTATAGTTTGCAACATCACAAAACGGCAATTAGGAGTTTCGAACCCATCCGAGGACGGTTAACGTTTCCGAACATTCCAAGAACATAACTCTCTCACCATGTAAAACCAATGAATGCATAACGACATGGGAATGTTCTTAGAATATTTTTGGCTAAATGTAACCACACTAGAACCTCCAGCGAATGTTACGAGAAACACTCCAAGAACATAACTCTCTCACCAAGTAAAAACCAATGAATGATAACGATATGGAATGTTCAACTTCTTAGAATATTTTTGGCTAATGTAACCAAACAGAACCTCCAGCGAATGTTACGAGAATGTTCCGTGTTTGCTGGGAAGAATCTTCAATCCCAGCAAACCCACTTGCCTTGCAACAGACTGGTCAAGAATGGCATCGGCTTCTGGCTCCTGCAGAAACACTGTGGCTGCAAAAATTATTAACGCTTTCTGCTGCAACTCAGGCTGGAAGATAACTCCGTTGGCAGCAGTTCACCCATGCTGCTGAGACACGCTATGCTCCAGTGGAAGGTGAAGACTTGCAGTAGCCGACTCTCTAGACAAGGCAAGGTATTTCGTCTTGGGTTGCGAGGACCTCATTATAGCAGTCAACCACAAGCCCTCCTCAAGATCTTCGCTGACCGTGCTCTACAGGACATCCTAACCCCCGCCTGAGAAACTTGAAGGAAAAACCCCTGCGCTACCAGCCCCAGAATTTAATAATTGACGTTGTTTTCCCGCAGTTTTATTAAAGGAATGAAGACAAGATGCAGAATATCAAACATATCAATCAATTTTCACAGACTTGCCACTGCTTGCTTCCGTGAAGGCGGAAAAAGACGACTTAAAATTGAGAATTGTCACACTCACGGTCACCCACTTCTCTCCTTCGCCGGATAGATCCACATCGTGTGGTTGCAGCAGCACATGAGTTGACGGCCGCGTGAGCGCGTTGCATGCATCATATCAGAAGTCTATCAATAGATATATTATATATCTATATATATTAATAGTCTATCTATTCCATATCCGAGCCGTGCCGCGACCCGGGCTCCCCCCTCCTGCCCTGCCCTGCCCTCCGTAATTTTCCTTTTCAGTCAAATTTTCCCTGAAAAATTGTTCGTTATTTTATCAACACACATACGGCAGCATTTTAGTGCCACAAAAAAATATTTTTATCTCGAAATTACGAAAATAGTATCTCGAAATTACGAAATAGTTTCTCGTAATTACGAAATAGTTTCTACGAACTATACGATACTATACGATATCTATTGAAGATTCTTGATCCAGTCGGCGTTCAGCTGCGTTCCCATGGCAGGATTGCGTCGCAACATAATATTTCACACGGGTCCCAATTTTGTGTGGCATTTTCACACAGCCCGCGTTCACACGGAGCGAAGGAATTCGGGTCGAAAACGACCCGTGTCAAATGGTCCCGGGACCCGGACGAGCGTTCACACGGACGTTTTCTCGGTACGAAAACGACTCGGTCGAAAACGAAGTCGAGTCCTGGTTTTCATTTTGTCGTGTGAACGCGCGACTCGGGTCGGAATTAGTACGTCACAACACGAAAACACAATGGCAATGTAAAAAAAAACAAAATGTATAACTAAAGGGGCTCCATCTAAATCTAATCGTAGAAATTTTATACATTGTTTTTACAATGTTCTTAAAGGTAGAGCTTTTGTTAGTCAAAGTTCTGACCACACCTAACGGCATTGGCCTATAGTCACAATAAACAACAGTTTCGATCTACACATTTCAGTATTTTCACTAATATACTAGTATAAATATATAAATGGCCAAACAAAGAGCAGAACTATGGTTACACGAGGAGAACGTCGCTCTTGGAGATCTGGAAAACTGATTTTATTCAGGAACAACTAACGGGGACATCGAGAAATCGAGTAGTCTATCAAGACATCGTAGAAAAACTGGCAATGCGAGGGATCATAAAATCTATTCTGGCAAGTGAGTAATCGCCTCAAGAGATTAAGAAACACGTACAAGAAAAGTTGTTGATAACAACAACAGATCGGGAAGAGCGCGCGAACAACGTGCAGCTACTTATAACCAGGGGCGCGCGCGTACGGGCGGGGCGGGGGGGGCCCGGGCCCCCCCACTTTTTTTGCGCAGAAAAAATATATGTCTCATAGGTATTTGTATGATCGGAAACGAAATGCAAGAAAAGAAAGAGGGAATAAGGGACGGAGAGGAAGGGGGAAGAGCGAAAGAGACTGTCTTGATCACATTTTCATCTGGCCTACTGCAAAATTACATAAGTTTTGACGAAAAGTCCCTCTAGCCTTACTCTACTAGGCAAACAGAGCATGTACAAGGCGGCCGTATTTACCCCCGCAATACCGTGCGACTTCCGGGGCCTGATCCTGCATGCTCGGAGGTCGATGCGAGGGTCGGCAATATCAGTACGCGCGGTACTTGCAGTATGGCAGGCCCGTAGCCCAGGGCGGGTTCGGGGATTACGAAACGAACCCCCCCCCTCGAGCCCACCCTCCCCCCAAGCAAGAAATTTTTTTTTTTAAATTTGCAAGAATTTCACTATTCAGGTCGCTCCATTTTAGTGTAATAATTGCAAAAATCATCCATCGTGTGCGGAGGGTGACACCCACGCTCCCTACACCCTCACCCCGCTCGATTCCCCCCGGCTTTGGTCCTTCGACCTGTCGCTTCGCGCCCCGAGCAGGGGTCGTACAGGAGGGGGGGGGTTCCAGGGCAGTCCGGCACCCCCCTTGCCTCGCTCCAGAAAACGCATCTGAGGGGGTCTAATTTGAAAAATTTTCTGGGTAAGCGCCCCCAGACCCCCCCTCGCGTGCTCGCAACTTTGGTACGGTTAGACCCACCCCTGGTACAAATCCTGTACACGGCCCTGCCGAGCAAATTGCCAACATTGAAAAACGACCCCCCCCCCCAATATAAAAGTACGCGCAGCACGCAGAGCCTAACGCACGCTGCATAACGCAGAGCCGTATACCGGACCGTACCCATGGTACGTTCCGGCAGTAACCTGGGGGAACATAGACCCTATGAGCGTTAGTTTTAATGTATATATTTTTATATAGTTCCTTTTATTTCCGTTTTTCTTCCATTTAAAAATTGAAATTTTCACCTTCGATGTGCACCAGATCGCCTCCATTTCAGTGCAAATTGAAAAAGCTCCCTGCCGTGGGAGGGGATCCCCCTCCCACAACCCACCCCCGCTCGGTCGCCTGGCTCCCCGCTCGGGGCGCTTCGCGCCCGAATAACTCAGCCCCCGGCATGGTCGCTTCATTCTCTCAATTGGGCCCCCCCACTTTGAAAACCGTGGCGCCGCCCCTGTTTAATTGATCTGGACGAAGTATTGGAAGGCGTCCTTGCATGTTGCATCCACACCAGCGTTGCTGAATCGTCATCGGCTGAGGCAGTAGTGAGGATGACCAATCCAATGAAGAGGAAGAGGATTTAAGGGATAGTAAGTACACGTATTGTAGTTACACAATAGATCAATTTGAATAAACTGTCGGGCAACAAGAAGCAATTTTTACTTGTCCGAATTTTGGTTTTACTTATCCAAAATTTACTTGCAATCTAGAGCCGTCAAGGCACATTTTTAGTTCAGTGCATATCATATTACAGTATTTACATGTAAAATCGTAATTTTACAGCTTTTTTCTCAACTCCATGAACGAGTTTTGCTGTCGCTCTCTCATACCAGCGGTGCCCACCCCTACACGCCCCCACGCGACTGACACAATCGGTGCACTCCCCCTCCCACGTACTTCAATCAATAACACCGCCCAGCCAGCAGGCACGATGTGTACAGCCACAGACACGGGCGTTTCGGATGTTAGGAATTTTACACAACTAGAAATTTTTGATCATGGTTTGAGCCAACGACTATGGTAGTAACTAGTAGGCCTAATACTGGGGTTTTCCCCATTTTGCCCAGAACAAAATAGGCGTCCAAATGTGTAAAATTATTTTCTCCTTGATGTATTTTGTGTTTTGTCATTGTAGTTAATAGTGATGTGGAATCTGCAGCTGATGGCGAATTACTGTACCTGTCATTATTATTCAGAACCAACACCAGGTTGTTCAGGTGAGTCTTTCTTTGAAGTATCCCGTAAATTTAAAAGATATTGAGTAGTAGATATGATTAAGATGATTTTAAGTATGCAGTCATAATCATCAGCAATAAAACTAAAGGAGACAAAAATGTTTCAGGCATACAGTTACCTACAGCCAGCAGCACCCCTAAATCCAATGAAAAAGAAATAACTGCAGAAAAAGGAAGAAGTGTCACTAGCACCAAAGGTAGATATTTATTATCTTATAACTTTTCTTGTCAATGATGCAGAATCTTTGAGTCTGGTTGCACAACAAATTTAACCAGCCATATCATATCAATCAATATATGATATAATATCAATTATATATATTAAATAAATATTATATTTATAATAATATATTATATTATTTATATATATATATATTATATTTAATAATTTTAATAATATTAAATATGCTCACGTTATTTTTCCAGGGAAGGGAGCAGGAAAAGGAAATAGAAAAAGAAAGCTGACGATGTGTTTTTGGAGTCTATGTCTAGACTATTGAAAGAAGTCTGATGACCAGTTTTGGATGCGGAAATCATGAGCTCCGCCGCATTGAA